ATTTTTAAATGGTGCTTCCCAAATCCCACCAGCCCCCCCTCCCTCATAAAAAATGAACGGTCCCTAAATTTGGTCGCAATGTAGGCCATTAACCTTGTTCGCGCCATTTTCAGAGCGGTTTTCAAAACCAAAGTAATCACCCCAGCCAATCATGTTGTTGACTTGAGAAAACGTGCACGAACGAGTCACGATTGGTTTTGGTGTCGATTCAGACGTCGCACTTGTGTCGAAGGCCAAGTTTCTTCTTTTTCTTTGGTGGGACCAAAATTACGCATGCTCAATACATTAAAATAATGTATGTATTAGATATTATATCTGATATCAATTTATCCCTGTAAAACTTGAGTTTCGAAAAGCTGTTATTATTGTTCACAAAATATACCAGGCAAAACATTTTGTACTAATTAAATTTAATTTGAGAGTCACCTTGAGGAAAAATCACCTTCTCGGCCAATAACTAGCTAAATTGTCAAATGTGCATTAAAAAAAAAAAAATACTAGCCTTAAATTTTATCAAACATAGTAATCAACCGGAACCGATCCAGAAGTATCTCAAAAACGCAGCGAGAAGAGGGTTACGGGGGTATAAACTGAAGATGGGTTGCTGTTTTGCTTCAAAAAGAGGGGCACAAAAAATGACGATGGACCCTGTAAATAAAGGGTCGCAGGGGAGGGTGAAAACGTCCCGTTTCTTTGCTCTTTTGGCCCTTTGGCGGTCCTGAGCTCCTGCATGGAACCCCTACCTTAATACTACCAGATTTTGGACTGAATGACAGTCTGGTCTAAATACCCGTTTCTGTTAACATTTTTATTCCGGGTTCTATGCTACATGCCATGTTTTCGGGGAGATTTGACACAAAATCATTGATCGGGATGGGACTCACTTCCTGTATATCCTGAATTACCTTCGCACTGGGCAAGTTGTTCTACCAGAAGACAAGGTTATTCGTAGAAAGCTGTTAGCGGAGGTCGAATTTTATCAAATCGAATAATGAGCTGACAGCAAGACCCTTCAAGGATCAGTAATCTTGTCGTCAGATCAGCTTACAAGTGCCAGCTACAACTATGCCTAGTTATACCGCGCCTCTCCCGATGGCTGGAATGCGTCCAATTTTCACTCCTGTTGTGACTTTAAGGGCCTACAGTGACAGTGATTAAGTGTGAAGATAACATATTTCGAGGCTACACCGAAGAATCATGGGAGAGCAGATAGTGTAACCTGAGCGATAAAAGCTTCTCTGCAGCTAGCTTTTTTTTGGAATGTTGATCATTGTTTCCTATTGCATTTTGTCATCCAGAAATCGCATCTTAGAATGTGATGTGTATTTGGCTTTAGTATTTATTCCCGCCTCAGATGGACTCCGATGTTTACAAGAATTTTTCCCTAAACTAAATCCGAAAAAAGCGTAGGCAAGACTCGCGTTTTCAATGTTCCGAAACAAGTAACAGGACTCACGGTCTGAGCAAAAAATCCGTTTTTTTTTTTCTCTCCTCAAAATCATAACATAACTTTTATCACGTGTACTCCATTTGAATTCGTTCCAGTCCTACGCATTAAAATCAGAATGAGATGGTTCAAACTGATGGATTCTCCTGTCACTACTATTATTTACTACATAGATTAAGGCAAACTAATAGGAACTAAAAACCAACATCAAAGTAAAATTGTAAACGAATGGTGTATGAAATGTTGTCTTTTTGCTGTTTTAATTGTCATCGAACTAAAAAAGAAAGAGAGAAAGAAGTAATTGTAATTTACAACAAGATCACAAAAGGTACAAATAAGCAATAAGAAAAAAAAACTACAGATATCCGAAAACAGTGTAATGTACACATACATAAGCGACTAGATTACTGTTATTAACAAACTACTATGTTATATTTACAGAACTTCTGTATCAGTTGGGAGACTTTAATAAAGTCATCTTCACATTCTAACACATTAACGAGTTGTTCCTTTATTTTATTTCGAAATTTTAGATGTGCTTAGTAATTTCACTGAAACTGGGATGGAATTCCAGACTGAGACGCCAATTCTTGTGACGGATTTTTTCATCTCTGCACTTCTTGAAAATTTTATAGAGATGCACTCATTTGTGGATGTTATGGTATTATAGATATGTATTGCTGGTTTTCAGTGTCACGCAATTCAAAATAGATTAAAATAAAAATCAAAACCGGTCAATAGATAAAGTCTAGAATCTGGGAAATGAAAGAAGGTAAATATGCAAAGACTCTCGCCAAAATTCTGGTCACAGCAATTCTTCTTATGCGAGATATGAGGAGAAATTTTTTACCCAAATTTATAGAGATTTGTATGGAGACGCCATGCTGGTGCCCATCCGTATGGGCACCAACATGGCGGCCGGAAACCAACAGAAACATCTGTCACTGAGTTTTGCTAAAAAAGCGTGAATTTATCCCTCGAGGAACTCTAAAACATTAAAATAATACTTTTTCTAAGACATGAACTGTTCAGATAGGCAAGTTTCCCGAAATAAGTCACTTTTTTAACCATCATGACGGCTCTCTAGGCCGTCATGTAAATGCCGCGTCACGCAAAAGCTTAGAAATTCAAGCGTACTTTATCACAAGACCAAGAACCCATTCGGAGCGAAAATTTGTATGAATATTAGTTTTCAGCTGCTCTTATACATCATTTAAGTAAAATCTCAGGAAGATCAATAGTTTTGTAGTTCGAATTTTAGTGACGTCATGTGAAAACCAGCCATTGTACCGGTTTTAAGAAATTGATTCAGGAGGTTTGTTGGGGCTTTTCTGCTCTCATAGAGCAGAAAGAGAAGGCAATCTTTGACTCGCAGGGTGACCCAGCAATAGCCTCGACCGGGGGGGGGACTGGACAAACTCTGATCGCGTGACAGGTGTAGTCAACCACAACATAATTTCCAGGAATTCCAAGAATCCAAGAATCGAGTTAACAAAAAGGTATTCTTTTGTTGCATTTATTATTCACACCCAGAAAAAAGATGTCTTCTTCGCGTAAGTCGAAGAAAGAGAACACCTCACCAAGCGATGAAGCGCTTGAAGAAGTGAGCAATCACATCAAAGAAGCTTTCGAGATATTGAAACGCGAGACGAAGAAGGTTCGCATGGAAAAGGAAGCTCTTGACGAGGCAGCAAAGAAACTCGAGCACGTTCATTTCTCTTCAATGTTAAAGCTTAATGTTGGCGGCCACCTTTTTTCAACCAGTTTGTCCACCCTGAATAAAGATCCAGGTATGTTTTGAAATTTACTCCTTTGTTGTCAATGCCATTCCGTTCGCATTCGTTCGAGGATTTAGCAATATAGGGGGCCTAAGATGAAGTATTTTCAAAGTCAGTAGTTAAACAAAGCATAAATCAATATAAAGCGACACCTTGGGGTTGCCACAAGTCTATTAATGTGCAATTGATGGTTTGCATCCGATTCCTAAAGATCTGATTTGAAGTCTTTGTTAGGGTTGGACCGGTTTTCGCTATGGGCGGAGTCGTAGTGGGAAATAGTCAATTAGAGAGCTTAGCAAACCACGAAGGCAACGGCAACGAGAACGCCACCAAATAAAAGGTTTTAAGGGAGGGTTTCGCGGTTCGGCGCATGTCTCTGAATCAAAATACTTTTAGTCTCTTCTTATCAATGTTATACTCAGATGTAATTCAGTAATCACATGCAATAGTTAGTCGTGGTAGAATGACGGATGACCAGTATTCTCAAAAGGTTTCAGTGGATTTTACCGACGCTGTCGATCGTTGAATTTGATTTTGACCCGCACGTTTTATTCTACGGTTGATGATTTTGTAACTTTTGCATGTGAAATTAGGTAACTTGCTAAACAATGAAAAACTGGGCCTGTGCCAAAAAGCGTGGCGAATAAATAATACAGCCATCCTTTAATGAGTAGGACAATGGCTGTGTACGTTATAAAACATAGCTGGTTTTCACATGACGTCACTAAAATTCGAACTACAAAAC